CAGTGGCTTGTGCCCATGGGGGCAGAGAGGTCCCTTTGCCCCCCACCCCCAGGTAGTGAAGCACGTGGCACCCCTAAGATGGACAAAAACACTCTCTAACCCCTTCCTGTCCCTGGGACCGTGCTCTCCCCCTAGGACAGTCCTTGCCTGTCACTCCCAGAAGAAACGTTGGGGTGAGAAGACGCCGGGTCACTGCCATTAATGACCCCCTTGGCGTCAGCTCTGCCTACCTGCCCCGTGTCCCGGTGGTAGCCGGTCAGCCGGAGGACCCCGTCCCCTGGGGGAGCACCCTTCACGCGGTCAACGATAAACCCCAGGTTTGTCCCGGGGTCTCCCTGTGGGGGCTGCACCCTGGACTCCTGGGTCCCGGTCAAAGAAGACCTACGGGGGGAGAAGCTGATGTGCCTGGAAAGGTTTGGCCTGGTTAGTGGCCGGTGCCGGTGGAGCCATGTCCCCTCTGCCGTGGCTGGAGCCTGGGGACAGGCTCAGGCTCAATGCAGCTCGTTCCCAGAGAAGGTCACCCCCCCCGAGACACGCTCGCTGCTGTCTCTGCAGCTCCCAGGCACCGCGATGCGAGCCTCGCTGCCGGGGACCCACGAGTCTCGCGGTTGTTACCTGCAGGGCGTGGAGCGCCGGGCCATCCCCGAGCTTCTGGGCTCCCGCCAGGGCAGGAGAGTGGGGGACGAAGAGGCAATGAGCACGGAGGAGGAAGAGAGCGGCGGGGAGAAAGGAGCAAGCGAGCAAGCTACTGCTGGTCCTGCAGGCGCAGGGGACTGGACACAGCGGCCCTTCCAGTCCTGGGGGCCAGCCCGGCATCCAAGCTTATGCAGGTGCACGCCTGGACCGGCACCATGCAAGCAGTGGACACAGCGCAGGGCCAGGGGGATGCTGGTGGTGCGGCCTGGCCTTGGTCTTCTGGGCCACACCTGAGCCTTGCACATGGAGCACGGGTGACACTTCCCCTGGCATCTGATTTCTGAAGCCCCTCCTGGCTCAAGCCCCGCGGGGCGCGAGAAGCAGCCAGGCGTCTCCCTGCAGAGCCGGGCAAGGCCCACCGCCCCCTGCACGGGTGGGCTGAGCAGGACCAGGGCAGGTGACCTCGGGCCCCTTGCCCGCAGCAGGGCAGATACGAGTGGCTAGTCTGCGAGGGCGCAGGGCCAGCAGCGTCTGTGCATCCCTGCAATGAGGGACGGGGTTGGTGCAAGCAGGGAGAATGTGAGGGTGCAGATACGGATGCGGCAGCAAGGAGCGGAGGCAGCCAGAGGCAGGGACCAGACCCCACAGAGGTGAGAACGGAGGTTGTTGCCCAGCCCAGGCTACAGGCAGTCCCGTCCCTGTGAGAACATAGCTGGAAGCCCATGGGAAGACATGAACACGCATGCACACGTACAGCCATGCATCACACAGACATGTTAGCCGAGCTGAATGACAAGGGGCCCCGCAGAGATACCGAGACCTCTGCTCCCCGGCTTCATCAGAGCCAAGCAGGCTTCCCCACCAGAGATCACGGGAGCCGGGCTGAGCTGCACCAGCTGCGGATCTGCCTTGTAGAGGGCACGGGATAACAGACAGGGTCTGCCGCGCTTGGGAGCAGGCAACGAACACCCAACTCCTTCTTGACATCGTGGCACCTAACCCCAGACAGCGTGCATTTGCAAATTCTGCGTCGTGCGAGCACGCGTGTGTGCAAACAGCAGGACACGCCTGGCGTGCCAAGAGCCCATCGTGACTGAGATACAGGATACGGGCCTGCTGCTTCAGTCACGACTCAGGCAAAGCTTCTAGGTTTTAGCCTCAGTCAATGGGAACATGGTCTGTGCGATTGCAAAGAGGATTGGAAAAAAAAACAAAAAACCCAGGTCCTGCCGTGACAAAAGTCGGCCAGGAGCACAAATCTGTGAGGGATTTGAACTGTTCTCAGAGCAAGCAGCCCCTGGACCTGGACCCCAACCCTGCCGCCGCTGCTGGGTTCAGCGCCCAAACTCGCGGGGACGGCGCTGGACAGTGCGCCCTGCCGTGAGAAACGGGCTCGGGTACGAGGGCGCTGGACGGAGCAGGGAGGGGGGCATGGCCGTCTGGAAAGATGAAATGATTTGGGTTACTCTGCACGGGCCGTGATGTACGCGAAGCACGTGCTGGGTGATGCGAGGGCTGGAGGAGCCCATGCTGTGGCGCTCGTGGGCACGGGACAGATGTGCGAGACCCGCCCCCTCATCTGCCCAAAATACCCTGGAGGACTCCGCCCTTGCAAGCAGCTTCTAGCAGCTCCCAGGTTTTTTTTGAAAGAAATCATCTGGCCAAAGAAACATCTCTGCCTCCACCGGGAAAGGTAAAGCCCCAAGAAATTACCCTGAGGCCCAGGCATAACCAGAGCCCCACCCAGGCACGCTGTCTCTGGCCCAGGCAGTGCCGCGGCTGTACTGCCCGGTACCCCGGGCCCTGCGGGTCATTGGCCCCATATTGCTGCAGGGGGATTCCCCTCCAGCGAGGGACTTCGTGCCGGACGGCGGCCGCAGCAGGGACCGGAGCGTCGGGCTTTGCAACCACAATCGCGAGTTGAGACTCGGCCGCTCCAATTCCTCCCTCTCCTGGAGGTTGGTGCAGCGGGACTGGTGGCAACGAAAGGAGCCGGCCTTCGCAGAGAGAGGCCTCCAAAAATAGACCTGCGGCGATACGTTAAAACATCCCTAAAGCGAAGTTCTCCTGCTACACGCAGAGCACGCGGGGCCGCGATTTCCTGCCTCTCTCTCGGCTCTGCGGGTTATACGGTGTTTGTGGCGGGGATGCTTAGTCTGTCCAGAGAGGCAGTCCGCCCTATTGGTTGGAAGTGTTGTTGTGTCTGTGCGGTGCCTAATGCAGCGGGCCTCGGATGTCGACGCGCTCGGTAAATGCTGCTAACAATGGCCTATTATTGTTCAACCCTTCGAGCTGGCCGTGCCCTCGCCGCCCCCGAGGAATGCAGCCATCTCAAAGGAGTGCCAATATAACCTTCCTACCACAAGTTCCCTATACATAGATTTACCCCCCCACCCCCATACACACACACACACACACACACACTACACTACAGCTGTTTATATGCATTTTTACCGTCCCTTTATGATGCTGGTTTTTGGCACTTTCCCATCACCTTGCTGACTCAGCTGGAGGGGGGAGGGAAGGGGGTGTTGGCTCGTCCCCTTTCTCACCTCTGTTCAGGTTTGTGCCGGACAGGCTGCTCCAGCATAGGAGGCGGGTCAACAAAGCCAGTGTAAGGGGGGATAGAAAGGGACAGGCTGGCAGGAGCGGGGTGGAAGGGGGCTGGAGAGCTGTCCTCGGGGGGTGCCATACGCCTGGACACCTGCAATCAGGAGGAGAAAACGTAAAGGCGTGAGCAATGTGTCTCCAGCTGCCAATGCAGCTGGCCAACACGTCCTGCTCCCAAGCCCTTGTTACTCTGCACAGGGGCTGATCTGAGCCCTGACAACTTCACGCCGACGAGGGATCCAGCCTCACGCGGAGCTCACAGCAGGAAGCCGCTGCAATGTCACAAAGGCAATGTCGCTGCTCACCGTGGGAGGGAAGCGGTACAGGGCGGCATTGCCAGGGTCGACCTCGGCCAGGGACTGCACGTCGGCGTCTCTCGCGTTCACCACTCGGAGGTAGAGCTCTGTCTTGCCAGCCTGCGGGAAGGGCTTGTGGTTGGCAGCGCTTTTGGAGCGGGGGGACTGGAGCAAAAACGGACCTGCTGACCCCACTCACCTGAGGGACCCCGTTCAGCTGCTCCATCGTGAGCCCTGGCTTCACGGGCAGGACCCGGACGGGGATCTTCCATCGGCCGCTGATCACTTGGTGCAGGTGGTCAAAGAGGGTGATCTTGGCCCACCCGCGGGAAGCCAAGCGCTGGATCTCCAGCCCGTAGGCGTCAAAGCCCCCGGCAGCCTGGAGCTCCACCACCAGCGCGATGGAGGTGGAGGGACGGACCCTGAAAGGCAGAGACAAGGGACGCGCAGGCATGACCGGTGCATCTCTGCGACAGAGGCATATAAATGAGTGGCAGCCTCCCTTCTCGCCCCTCTCCTCTCCGCTCTGAGAGCGCCGAGTGCGCCTACAGCCCAGAGCAAACACATCCCCGGCAGCAACCACGGATCCCGCGAAGTCTGCCCCCCCTCACCGGGATCACCGTGCCTGTTCCAGCCAGCACGGGGGACTTAGGCTTTGGAGCTGCCTTGGCTTCTCCTGCCCTCAGGCCTGAGCACCCAGGACTGAAATACTGGGCCAAAGCAGAGAGTCTGGTCTTGCTCCGGGTATGGGAGGTGAAATGTAGCAGCCCACAATCATCAGGGCGCCTGATCTCATGGGCCTTTCTGGCTTTCGCTTGTGTCAAACGGAGTTGGATCAGCTCCTTCTGCACGGCTGCCTGACACAGGTTGTTGTGGGGTGGGGTGGAGGGGTCCATGCCCCCTCAGGACTCAGACTAGACAAGGGGCGTGGAGGGGTCCATGCCCCCTCAGGACTCAGACTAGACGAGGGGCACGGCTGGACCGGATGAGACTCCTGGCCTAACCAGCTTTGGACGCCTGCCGCACTGGTGACCACGTGTCCATAGCTTCAAGGGCAAGGAAAGCAGATGGACACGGCGGGGAAACCCAGACCTGGCCAAACGCTGCTATCCTCTGTTAAAGACACCTGGTGCAGCAGGGCAGGATGCAAAGGGGTACGTCGCCTCCGGCGAGATGCCGCTCACCTTGGAACCGGCTGCTTGGTGGCCAGGATCGCCCTGTTGCCTCTCTGCCCATCCACGAGGTACCGCGGGGCCTGAGCCACATCGCAATCAGCGCTGGGGAGAGGGGTTGGCCTGCCCATCTCTTGCCCATCACGGTAAAGCCCGGCCACCAGGCGCACCTGGATGACGGTGGGGTCCAAGCCCAGCAGGAAGTCGTAGAAGATCGCGAAGCCGGCGCTGCAGGGGAAGGGGCAGGAGGCAGTGTCGTGAGAACGGGGCCAGGCGCGCTGGTGGGAGAGCGTCCGGCTTCAGTGCTGAGCTTGGGAGACGGAGACGTGGGGGGGCCGAACAACCCCCAACCGCATCAATCAACGAACAGTGCCTGTGATGAGCACATCAGGGAGAAAAGCAAAAAGTCGGGGGGTCGAGGGGTGCCATCCCGGGGAACAGGCACAAGCATGGAAAAGGCACATACCCAGGGTCATACGGGGCAGGTCCCAGGGCATCCGGCGATTCCAGCCACGGTTTGCTGAGTGCTGGGGTCTGAGGTCCCATCGACTCCTGTAACACACGGCGATTTCATGGAGGTCACAGCTGGCCGCTGGGGCAAGGACCTGACGGGGCGCAGCGCTCACCGCTCACTAGGACGAGCGTCTGGGGCAAGTGGTTTCTGCATTGCAGGCAGGAGCTGCTTTCTGTAGCACCGCACAGACGCATTTAAGCAGCTGGGATGGACTTAGCTGGCAGGGGAAATACTGCGGCCACCAAAGCGGTTTTCTTAGTCCCTGGGATAACTGCTTTTCTGGCATGGAGGTAACGTATAGTTAACCTCCCGCTTTCATTTCCAGTGGGAAGATCTCAGCTTTATGCCCACTTTATGGAAACGGGAGACTCCTCCCTAGCTGCTCCTGTGGCCGCACGGCGGAGCGAGTGAAACTCGGGGGCATCCGAACCTGAAGCCCCTGGGCTTGGTCCTGCACGTAGGACGCCCGCTGAAGGATTTGGAAGCATCTGAAGCCCCGTGCGGGGGTGGAGGATGCTTGCCAGCAGCAGGGCCACATATGGTTTTTGAATGACTCACAGATTTGGACTTGATTTGGCTGAACACAACAAATTTTCCTTAAAGTCGTGATGGCCTCCTCTCCTGCCTAACGCGCCGATGAGGGCTTTGCCAAATTGCAAACAGCGTCAGAAAAATTCCTGGGGGCAATGAAGCTGCTGCTGCTCTTCCTCCCTGCCCTCTAGGAGCTGATCAGTGATGGAGAGAGGACTTTTCTACCCCATGGCCACAGACTCTCCCTGTCCAGACACCTCCCTCTAACGCTTGGCTGGGCTGGTCCATGCAAGGCTGATTGTGCCTGGCGCAGGGGCTGGACCAGGTCCTTCTCAGCCCCGTTTTTCTACGAGCCGGTGGACGTGGATAGCCCCTGGAGCTTGCATCGCCAGGCCCAGCACGCTGGCAGGGACGACTCGGTTGCAGGGCTGCAGCGGACAGAGACAAGACGCGGCCTGGGGTGGAGCGGGACCTGCTCGCAGAGATGCGCGCTGGCTGCTGGATGTGGGCAGGGCTCTAGTTCGGGTCTCAGGGTGGACAGAGACCTGGCGGTCTGCTGCCAGCCCTTCGCCTGGTGCCCTGAGCACAACCGCGGGTTCCCACCCCTGGACCTTGACGTCCAAGCAGCCTGCCCTGGACTGTAATGGCCGTGACTGCTGGCCAAAGCAGCGCAGGAGCAAACTCGCACAGGCGCAGGGTGGCTCCCCGGGGCCCCGATCCACCCACGTGCCTCGGGACTTGCTTGGCTGGAGCAGTAGCAACCATAAGGCAGCTTCCAGCAGACTCCCTTCCTCTGGGATCAGACTGAGGGTTATGTTAGTGCCCTTGAAAGCTCCTGCCCCTCTGATCCGGTTGGTCTCCGAGGTGCCACCCTGCCCTTCTTCTGCCTGACTTCAGACGAACACAGAGAGCTGCCGCCGAGCCCCACATCCAGACACTCGAGTCTAGACCCGGGCAGCCTATTTTGGACAAAACTTTCTCACTTCTTCTCCCCAGCCAAAACATGTCCATTCTGGTCAGTGGAAGCATTTCTTGCATGAGTCCAAAAACACCCAAAAAGCCAACCCAAAAACGGGTAGGAATGTTTCATTGCGACGTTTCACACACGGAAGATTTTACTTGGAAGCTGATTTTTGCTCTGAAATCTACTCACCAGGAAGGGGGGGTCGCGCAGCCCTGGCAGAGGCAGGGGTGGGGGCGGTGGCAGGGGGGGGGCCACCGGGGGGGGGGGCAGAGGCAGCGACCGCCTGCCGCCCCATCGCGGCTGCATCCTTTCGGCGTCGTGCCTCAGCATCCCAATCTCGGCCTGCAGCTGTGTCATCTCCCTCACGTGCACCCGCTGCAGCTCTGCCAGCTCCCTGCCCAGCACACCTGGGGG